TCAAATTCTAAAGGCATTTCCTCCTGTTGCTAGTAAACTCACATTCGTCTGCTCTATGTTTACGTTCCTCATCACGTTGTGCTTTTAATTCGGCTCGTTCACTGGCAATAAAATCCATCAATTCCTTTCCTTTCAATCCATTCTTTTCACCCACTGCGGTCAACCTCTCAATTTCTCAGGCTCCCTTGGACATAATTAAGGGTTATATTTTAATAAACAACGTTATAATCTATACACAAGTTATGGCAACTTCGTAATCTAATGTGGAAATAGCTTTTAATTTTGTTAAAGGGACGGTCTTACAACACGGTACGGTACTATTAATATGTCGGACAGCAAACATACACGTTGTCTGTGGGACGTCACCTGTATCAAAATACACATGAAAAATAGTTACACAATACTTACATGAAAGATACTGTACAACATATATCTAAGCAAGTAACTTTATATGGAATTGCATTCCATTTAATTCGAACACGTCACGCATATATTGCTATTATATTATTGAGTTTATTATTATTATTATTATTATTATTATTATTATTATTATATTGAGTAATTATTATTGAGTTATTATATTGAGTTAGACTATAGTGCTTTATTAAGGCCTATCCTTTCTTTTATTTATTTTTTCGTTGCCCGGGTTCTCCACCAAAAATTGTCGGGACCAACTAACACTCAAGCGGTTTGGCGCAGCGGGAGCGGTTTGGTTTCCCAACATCGAGGTCGGGGTTTCAATCCCTCGCTGTGTATTTTGCTTGTGTCCTTGAGCAAGACACTTTATCTGCATTGCTTCTCTCCACCCAGGAGTATAAATGGGTACCTGGTGGGGTTGCCTGCTTCTGCGCTGATTACCAGCAGCAACACTTAGCATGTAGACCCATTGACCAGGGAAAGGAACTGCGCTTTATAACCGCAAGGAAGAGACGCATTAAATGCCCGTACCAGTACCAGTACGCCTATAGTCAATTCACTCAACAACGAAACGCTAGAATTAAATGCATGCAGACCATCATTTAAGTATCACAACAAAAATTTAATGGAGACAATAGATGTGAACATTACCAACATGTTAACCCCATGTAGCCAGTTCTCCAATAACACATAGCTAGTAGGAATTAACGTTTACTTTTGGTTACGGTACCATACACAATTTTATAATATTCATAACCAGTTTTAAAAGATTACAATATAACAGTATCATGAATAAAGATTCATTGCTGTACATATTATAATCCTATACACAACATTAATAACAGTTTGAGAATATAATGATATATCATGATAAAACATAATCAGCGTTTTCCAGTTGCAGAATATATTCTAAAACAAACTTTATACGGTGTACGGTAAGAATGGCCCCGGAAAAAACGGCCCAGGAAAAAATGGCCCCGGTAAAAATGGCCCCAAATGATAGGTAGGTAAAAATGGCCCCAATAATATAATTCTGTATTAAAACTGATTTTTTTTTAAATCATTATAATTATGCATTTTTTAAAACTAAAATAATTTAGTTTTTAAAAGGAATCTAACATCAAATAAATTGCCATTTACATTTTACTTTTTGCAGAAATTACATATTCAATGATAAATTTTATTCCTTGGAATATTCTTGATTTAACTAATTATGTTTATGAGGCCACTTCTTTATTTTATGATTTACTCCATGCAACAATTAAAGATCTTGTTCCTGTGTTTAAACCAAAAAGAAAACTCCCACCTTGGTTTAATCATGAATCATACAAAGCTTTAAAACTTAAGGAAAAATTATTCAAAATTAAGAAAAGAACTAAAACTCGACTTGCTGTTGAAGATTTTAGAATGGCCAGAACAAATTTCAAAAAACTTTGTAATCAGCGGTACAGACAGTATGTTGATGCTCTTTCAAACGATCTGAATAT